ACTATACCTCATAGCGAGAGTGGAAGTGAAATGGATGATGGTGGTGAGAGATTTTAATTAATTTATTCAGGAAACTTAGAAGATGATTTCATAAACTTTAAAAAATTATTTTTTTCTGATGTGTTTTTCTTCCACAGTGATAAATACATGGTGTGAAAAATTATAAAATTATCTTCCAATAATGAAAGATAATTCGTGGGAACTACTGACTTTTTAACCAGATATTTTCTATAATTAGATTGTTATACGAAGGACGAAATGGAAAGCATTGATGAAGAATCGAGTGACTTTGACGATTCAGACATTGAAAGTGATGTAACTGAGAATGAAAAGAATGAGAAAGGTTATGAAGAAAAGGGCATTAAGCGTTGGTCTGAACTTTGTATGCGAGCAAAATTATTGTACAGTGAAAAAAAATCGACGAGACTGAACTATGCTAAAGTTGTATACTCTGATTCTGGCGAGTTTTTTTTCCACAGTGATAAATACATGATGTCCCGGAATATATTTCTATATCCTCTTTTGTTAGTTGTTTTATATGAGAAACGCTGATACATATATGAAGCCATACTCTGTCGCATAGATACAATCAATGTTAAGCTTTAAGAATATAACATTAAATTAAAATTCATTGGGTTTTTTTTTCTTTTTGAAACATGATATTAATGTGGAACTCGAAAGATGAGTAATGTGGTAATAATCATTCTTATCGTTAGACCTGCATGATCAGAATGAAGAAAAACAAGATCAAGTACTTGGTGGCCTTTTTAAAGTTTTGACTCGATCAAAGAAAACTATTGATAACTTGGTTAGTTTTCTTAACTTATTGTTTCAAGAATTGGATTGTTTATTTTATCGTTTTACTGTTGGAATCTAATAATGTGCTTGAGTACAGTGGATATTTTGTCCATTATTACCATATTTTTTTTTTTGCAGGAAGATGGTTTTCTCTATCATAAACCGTCAACAATTACATCCCAACAGCTATTTAATCAACGTGACTGGGATGATTTTGAGGTTTGTTCATGCATGTAAAATGTTTACTTTGTATTAAATGTAGTAAAAATAATGCTTTTATAATTTCTTACTAGCATATGAAAAGTTTATTTGAAAAGTTAGGAAACATGAGTTTTCGTAGTGAAAATTGTTTTTTGTCCTTTTTATTACATTAAGTATTTCATTTAGGTTCGTGCATCGATTGCGGATTGCTTTGTTACGGGAAATTGGAGTCCTGACGAAGATGCTATTATGCAATTAGAAGATGGTAATGTTATAAGTAAAATTATAGAAATAGAGTGAAATAGGTATGAGTTGTGCAGCAGTTCTGAAGAACACTGCGATTATTGTTCGATCTATCGATTAATCACTTGATAATCAACTTTCTGTTCAGAAAAGCGTATTTCAGGTGAAAGAGGTGGTTCTGGTATAAACGACAAAGATTACGACCCTTCTATCGAAGGCAAGTGTTGTTTCTTTTCTTCTATCGTATCAAGTGATAAGATAAAAGAAAAGTTTTCAAGTTTTCTAATCTTCTTTTTACAGCTAGTGAAGATGAGATTAACCATGTTGACGAAACTGGAGAAAATATAGATCCTGCAGCAGTAACAGGGAGAAGTGACGAGGAAGCAGCTAAAAAAAGAAAAATTGAGAAAGAAAAGTTGAAAAGCCGTTTCAACGCTGAATATGACGAAGCTAACAAACATTATGTACAACTGAAAGAAGAGCTTGAAGAGCAATCGAAGGTGTGCTATATTTTTTAGTATTTACTATGTAATAACTTTCGAATTTGATTTGGTTTAAATTAACAGAAGCTATTTGCGATTCTCAAGTAGTTAGCAAGCTAAAGATTATTCTGTTACTGTAAAACCAGTTTTTGATTCAAACCAACTGAGAAATTAAATTACTAATTTCTTTCAGCTCAATAAGTCAGTCTTCGAAGAGATGGATGAAACAGCTCGGTTACAGTTAGAAGGTTTCCGACCGGGGTTATATGTTCGAATAGAATTCGAAGATGTACATATGGAATTTTTACAGCATTTCGATCCAACTAGGCCATGTATTATAGGTGGCCTTCTTACCGGTGAACAGAATATTGGTTCTGTACAAGTACATTTTCTTTCATTTTGCTTTTGTCATGGATGTTATTCATAAATGGTTCTTCTGTTGTTGCATTTTATTATGTTATAAGTTTTTATAAGTCTTCATACTGATCTGAAATTTTGATTTCCAGGTGCGAGTGAAGAAACACAGATGGTATGAGCGGTTGTTGAAGTCACGAGACCCTCTTATTATATCATGTGGTTGGAGGCGATTTCAAACTGTTGTTAGTCATTTCCTCTCTTTGTTTCTTCATAGACTTTGTACATTACATATTCTGAAGGAAAAAAATTCAAGTAAAATTGTTTTAGATTTTACAATCTTGTCTTGAAACATTATTGCTTCGAAGTCTACAATTTTTTTTGATTTTTCCTTCTTCCTCTTTTGATAATAGATCTTACTGTGTATAAGTAACCTTTAAATAATTTTGAGGTTTCAGGTCATATATTCGATACAGGACCATAACATGAGACAGCGTTTCTTGAAATACACGCCAGAGCATATGTTCTGTCAGGCAGTCTTTTGGGGACCAATAACAGCACAGAACACAGGATTCCTTGCTATGCAATCGCTAAGTAGAAATGTGGTTTGTAAATGATGCATATATTATTGAGTTGAACTAAACACATATGTTAACGAGATTTTAGTATATGTGTTAAAAAAATTTAATTTGTGATCCTCACATGAGGTCATATTTTAAACTCAGAATTTATTTAATTTGTAAATGATTTCATAAAGATGAAGCTGAATATTTCTTCTTTCAGAAAGGCTTTAGGATTGCTGCAACAGGTGTTGTACTGAATCTAGATAAGGCCTTCCAAGTTGTGAAAAAACTGAAGCTTATTGGTCATCCATATCGAATATTCAAGAAGTCGGCTTTTGTCAAGGTTCCTCTATTTTTTTTGAGTCGTTTATTCGCCGTATTTATTATTTTACTACATTTGTTTATGCCACAACTTCTTCAAACGCAACTTTCTTGAGCGATGTTGTTTTCGGAGGTATGATTGCATGGCTTGACCCTTTCAGGGAATGTTTAACACTGTATTGGAAGTAGCAAAATTTGAAGGCGGTATTATACGCACAGTTAGTGGTATTCGTGGTCAAATCAAAAAAGCGTTACGTGAGCCAGCTGGTGCGTTTCGGGGAACTTTTGAGGACAAAATTCTCATGAGCGATATAGTTTTTCTTCGCGCTTGGGTGAATAATTCTTTTATCTTTTTCTTCAACAAGTATTGATTTAAAAATTGCTGACAGTATATGTTACTGATTTCGTTTTCTATCTTCTAATTTAAGAATCAGTACTGCACTACATTTTGTTTTCAGGTATCTGTGCCTGTACCTCATTTCTATACTCCTATAACAGATCTTTTATTACCGTTGAATCAAGAATGGGAGGGTATGAAAACAGTAGGTCGCTTACGTTTTGAAATGGGTTTGAAACCGCCGCTGAAGATGGATTCATTTTACAAAGTAAGGACTTTGTTTTCAAGAGTTTCTTTGACAATTTTTCTTAATTTGTGAACATTATTATGATAGAACATTTTTCCTTATCAATTCTGGTCTTTTTGCAGCCAGTGGAAAGGCGACCATTTAATCCGGCACCGTTGCTTATTCCAAAAACACTCCAGAAGCAATTACCATATCGATTAAAACCAAAAGTTGCGAAAGAAATCAAGAAGACGGGTGACAAGCTTGTGAAGAAGCATAATGCAATTATATTAGAGCCGCATGAAAGCAGGGTGAACTCATGTTTTCTATACAAATTTTTATAGTGTCTTATATTATTTAAAACAATTTTTATTTTATCTAAATATTATCTAAAATAACTTCAAGATGATTATGAATTGATCTATAATAGTGCTTTAGATAAATCGATTCATGGAAATACTGGATACAGTACATATGGAAAAAGTGAGGATAGAGAGAAAAGCAACGGCACAACGTGTTAAAAAACATCGCATAGTAAGTTTTCTGTTGTATAGAAGTTTTCCATGCAGCTCTGTAGAATTTCCTTAATAAGACTACTGAAATTATGATGGCTTTTGTGACGGCCTTTACTTCTGTGTGAGTCATGCTTACTAAAGATATTTGGCGTCGTACAGCTAGTGTTCTTTCATTCTTCTATTTCTAGTGTTAAGGTCGTTGTCTGAGTAGCAATTCTATGCACTTGCTTTTTCTGCTCAATGTAGTTTTTTTTTTTTTTTTTTTTTTTTTTAAACATTAGTTGGCTAATTCACTTTTCTTTTTCTTATCAGTTCTCATTTAACTTAAATTTCTACAGGAAATGGCAGCGTTGGAAGTACAACGACAATATGGAATAAAAAAGACAAAAAAAAAGATTTGCCGTTCATTTTCTAAGCGAGAACAGGTGAAATTACGCAGAGCACTGGATTCAGTTAGCAACAGTAAATAAAGATGCTTTCTAGCAACTTCTGAACGCGGGAAATTCTTTGAATGTATTTTTATTTTTTGGTGTTTTAAGCCATTGTTTTTCGTTCGTCTACCTTATTTTTGATTGAATAAAATTTGAACTGAAACATGTAGTGTCTCCATTTGTCTATTGCCAAAACTTTCCAAATACTGCTTTCTGTGAAACCTTAAAAGAAATTTATGAAAAAATTCTCTTTTTTCTCAATTACTAGACTGAACAATTGTCTTTTATTTGCCAATTGCGTAAGTGGTGGGCATAATTCAAGTTGCCTTATAGAGTCAAAATACCTTTGTTAAGGTATTTTGCCGGTCTGAAGAGTCCATGGTGATCTGCTCCTTTACAAAATCATATGATTGCTTTGATATTAAGATTTCCGCTAATTTTTCTGATTTTTTGGAAGAACAAGCATTGGGAATATGGCACAGGATGTAAACTTTTATAATTCAGGAGTCGACACATTGCTTGGATTTAAATGTTTGGGTTGGGACCATGGTGGTTCAATTTTTCGCAGTTTCATCGATCTGAATTGACAATAGATAATTTGGTATCAGTTCCATCTCCATACACTGAATTGACAATTTTTGGGACTTTTAAGGCTGCTGAATTTTTGTCGTTTGTTGGTATGTTTAGAATATTTTTGAAACCGATGACTCTGGGAATCTTGTCACCATTTTCGGGTATTAAACTATTTTGGACACTGTGTTTCAGATCTTTCTATTTCCTTTTGAAATTCTAGCATTTTCAATCTTTCTTTTCTTTAAAGATACCATCCTTTTAGGTGGCTGCATAACACATCCAATATACCGGCTCTTTCTTCTAAGAAACTTAACTCCCGAAACAACCACCAATAATTCGGCTAAAATAATTAGAAGCAAATGTCGAAAAATACAGGTATACACAAATAACTTTGTACGGCTTCAAAAACCGTTTCGGAAATGAATAATAAAACTATATTCCATGTACTGTAAAATAATTGGGTTCGTTTCTTGATTGGTTTCTTGAACGTTTTTTAACTTTTTTTTCAGTTGAACTTAGATTTATTGTTGTTCTGGACAAAAAATGTAAAAAGAAAAGTGTTACTAATGTGTCATTTGAAACTACAAAATTGGCAAAGATGAGGCAGTATCAGTAAATTCCTTTGAAAGAATGTCATTCCACTTACAGGGACGATTTCTTCTGGCAAGTTTTGTTATTGGACCGTTGAGTACGCTAGCTTATGTCACTTATTACTCGTTAGATAGAAAAGATGCGAAGGATCTGTGCTATCAGATCAGATGCAGCGAACAAATGATGACTTGGGTAAGTCATCTTGTCAACGAAACTTAAATTATGATCTGCTCTTGTCAGAATAAATACCGGTTCATTTATGAAGCAATTAAATTCATATTTTGCTGGTTTCATCTCCCTTTGCACAAAAGCTGCTGCGGTGATTTGTATGAGTTTTTTCAAGTCATGTCAAGTCAAATAACACAAAGCTTTGGAATTAAAAAGAAAAAAGGAAGTTGTTTTCAGTAGTGTAAGCAAATGCAATTGTCGTGAGACAAAACAGCGAAATAAAAGATACCCTAAATGAATTTCAGGATCGCACCGCTATTTTGCTAGGACTTATTGGATGGTATTGGAAACGTTTTAAAGGAGCTGTTGATGGAATAAATGTTGCATCAGTCTGCACTGCTTATTATTTCACAGTATGCATTTCTTTACGTTTGGAGTTTGTTAATTTGCATTTCTTATAATTGAGCTTCATTTATATAATTATTGTTTCGTAACTCTTATTTTATTTGTAGGCTTATTGCGGAGAAAGCGATTTCTATTTTGTTGTGCTGGAATAGTCTTTTTTGATAATATTTTCTTTATAGTGAAGTAATGCTAAATTTGATCCCTTCTTTTAGGTACAAAAACGATTAACAAATGCATTAACAACAGATAAAATCAAACCATGGCAGCGACCAAAAAGTCTCGAGGAAGTCAAAGCAAAGAATCTCTTCCTAGCACAAATAGCTGCAGAAGACAGCAAATCAGTTGGTTCGGCTTCGACTTCATTGCCCATGCAAACATCATAACTATATGACATTTGTTCTATTAAATGCTGAATAAAGCACTAGGTCGGGTCGGAGTTATTCTCTCACCACAGTGATAATGAGTAAAAGTACATATAAATGTGGCAGAAAACAGGATTTGATTGTTTAAGAGAAACTTCCTACTTATCTCCGCAGGTTCCTCAACCAACGACGGCTGACGTCTTTCCTAAAGTTATCACTTGGAACTGTTCTTAGGGAAATTGTTGTCCATCGAATGTTGAACTCTAGCCATACTTTGGTGGAAAAGTCTTACATTTTTCCAATCTTGGTAAGTAAGGAAAATTATGTGTAATTTTGCAAAAGATGAGTAGAGCATAAAGAACCGATGCTTATTATTTAGATTTCATCCATCTCTCAAAGCACTTTCGCAGCAATTCATTTATAAGCAAAATTAGATGAAGGATAATTTTAATTCACTTCTCCAACATTGTGAAATTACTGGAAATGAGAATGCATCAAAAGGCTACATCTTATTATGTACAAATAAATGAAATGCTCAACAAGGAGAAACAAATGAGCGCAGGACAACAGATTTGGGAAACTAACGCGCTATGCAGTAATTAGATGAGAGGTAGGTGTCAATAAACCTGAAATCCAACATCAGTTGGGAAATTAATTTCTTGAAGAACAACGCTAATGTAGATGTAAACCATTTCAGCAACTAATATTTTGGGACAGCAGATCCGGTACCGGAGTATTCTTGTATACTACATAATTTGAATTATGAAAGAAATGAATCAAGTGAAACACGTTGATAATGCATATTGAGAACAAACTCTTAGGTTTCGAAAGAGGATACTAGTTATGAACGTTTAATTAAAAGTAGGACGGAACAAAACACTTAGATACAGATCATTTCAAGTATAAGCAAGAAAACAATTACACAAAAAAAACTTCAGGTATCTCAACATTTTAGCCTGGTCTACCATCCCTCATTTCTGGTTCGATGAAGCTGAACTAGTACCAGTAGCAGTGTCAATATCGTCCATGAATGGATTTTTTGGCCGTCGTGGTTTCATTGTGGAAACATAAATAATTGGAGATCGTGCAGTAATGGATGATGAGATCGACAAGGAATGAAGAATGCTATGATGTTGTGGCGAACTGTTCGGTGACAAGGACTGTTCCATTATTTCGGTCAATTCTGAAATTATCTACAGATTAGTTTACCTGCAAAAAATTCATGCAAAGAGCTTAAAAATATTCCACTAGTGCATAATAGAACGAAATTTGAAAGCTTTTTAATATAAATCATATATAGAACCCCAAATTCCTGATCACTCATTTCTTAAACTGATAGAAATTTGTAACACATGCTTACCTTATACCTGATATGTCGTTTTTTTTTCGATACTCTGTCTCACGAATTTAACAAAATAACAAAGATAAATATGTTCAACAAAAGGAAAAAAAATGAACGAAGGAAGCAGTACGCCAAAACATGTTGAAGAATTTCAAAAATTTTGCATGTACTAATCAAATATTTATGTAATATTTATTGTGTATTGTATGAGGTAAAAATTTAAAACGAAAGAATATAATTAAATAAAATCTCTTAAACATTTTATAGCTATCGTTCATAAATGAAGAACATGTAATAAGAGAAGGAAGGTACCACAATACTGTTCTTATGATTAATAATTCAGAGATTTATACAATAACGACCTATAATTGTTAAAGATGACTTTTTGAAAGCTAAAGATTTGTCGCCGTTAAAGTTGCATCGAATTAGAAAAGTTTTGTGTATAATGAATGCCACAGAAAGAATCAGACCTATACAAGCAACTCTTACATTTGCTTCATATGAGGGTTGATTGTGTAACTCTGTTTTATTCTTCTCTTTCTAGTATTATTTTCAAATCTGTAGAATGTGGCATTATCGATGGGTTCACATATCCCGAGTCACCATGACATGAAGTTCGAACGAGTGACCGTTCAACTCTTTGTCGTCGTTCTTCTGATCTGCTTCCGTTTAAATAATGAAGCTTGTTGCAGCTAAACTGGCTTGGAGATCTTCCCACTAAACGACCATTACTAAGACTGACTGCAAGTTTCTCAAGAGATTTATCAAGCCTAGCTTGAGAACGTCGCATAACTCGCATTTCTCCACTCAAACGACGAGGTGTCTTCGAAATGTTTTGCTTTTGGATTTTTGCGAGTCTGTTGCGTGTTGCGGGACGAAAATTCTTGCACACTTCCATACCGACCGATGTCGCTAATGCTGCAATCTCTATCTGTTATGAAAAATTTGCTTTAATGCCGTTCCTCATAGCAAAATAATAAAGCTGATTAATTAACTGAAAACACGGGGATTTGGAGTTTTGCTGGCAAACATTCCAAATGGGTTTCTAAACGTTTGAGTAGTATTAGAACAATATCGTTGGGTTAATCAGCAACAACATAAATCTCACCAATAACATTTGACGAAATGAACATTTCATTAGGAATGATTATAAAAAACGTGAACATTCCAATAACTTGACAGGTAGCACGCATGATAAAATGAAAAAAAAAAAAAAATCACATAAAAATATTAGAGTGTCAAATAAACAGGCAGTGAAATAATTTCGGATATTCTGTGATTAATGATGCATTTTATTATACGTTTCGTGAAAGTTTTTTCAGGTGTGCTGCTGATACATACTCACAAGCATAATGCCTATTTAGATGTAAAATCTTACCTTCAAATTTCTTAGCTCGCCTCATTACAATCTTTCGCGAAGGTGGAGACACATTCCTTCCAGCAATCGGTTGTAGACCATGTGACGCGGGAGGAGCAGAAAGTTTCTGAAAAGAGGAGGATGCATATTTACCATCTTGCCAATGACGTCCTGTTTTGAAACCCTGCAACATAAACTACTCTATTTCGAATAAAATGGGGCGAAAGTCGAAATCTCACTTTGGATATTGATGAATTTTATAAATGAATGAATTTATAAATCAAGATATTGATGAATTGCATAAATGAAAAAGCATGCCTGTTCTGGAATAGTTTTTTGTGTTTCCAACCGAGCGAAATGACTTACGCGTTGTCTCACCATACCACGATTATTGGATTTTATAGATAAGACACTGGGTCGTAATCCTGATGGCATATACGCAGGACCTGCTAGTATATCCTAAAATTATTCAAGTTTTGCATAATTCATGTTAAAATTCTATCAAGTCTCCAATAGTAAATCATGTCATTACTTTATTTTTTGCTGTATTTAGATTACACTTTATGTCCAGAAATAAATAAAAGCATGTGTAGACGGGCTTACATCTTCACTTCTTGCATTTAAAAGCTGCATTTTGATGGCATCAGACTTTGAAAAATCCTCTTCGAAATCACTTGGTCGACTATTGCCATCTATGCTATTCTAAAATAAAAATTAAAGCAATTAGACAAAAAAAAAACATGAGTGACCATGGAGCATATAACAAGGACCAAACTTCGTATTATTACACAAGCTATTTCTGATCATCTGCAATTGCTAGAACTGGAATTACTTTCAAACAGACATTCTAACTCTCATTTTCAATTAAAAAAAAAATTAGCTAACGCTTCCTCCTTATGCTGCACATAATATTCAAGCAGCAAAGAGGAAGTGTTTTTTAACTTAACCATGACACTTGTACAGACTTCGTTAGAATTTTAAAAATTTGGTACTTTTTAAAGTTTTTCAAATAACAATTCAAATTCAAATTAAGAACAAGAAATATGATATAATGAAAAACTTACTTCTCGAGCATCCTCACCACCGTGAGCTGAATCGACACTTCGTTGATTCGATATATGTTTCAGTGGTTCCACATGTAGTGTTTTGTTGTAAGCAGGTGTGGTAGTAGATGATGAATTAATAAATAAAGTAGCAGACTGGACACTGGTGTTGACTGGTGGTGAATAAAGTGAATGTTTCGAAAAATCTGGTGAAGATTGCCTTGCACGATTATCTCTCACTACAGAAGAGACTGCAGACACAGATGAGTTTTTCGTTGGTGAAGAAACTGATGAAAGAGATGGTGGAGGTATATCTTCTGTAAAAACTATTTTCGTTTCCTACTGCAAAAATGTTTCGCATAGTTTTTGAGATAATAACTATTTTAAGCTAAAAATAAAATTGGATTTCATATAAGCTTTGCAGTTTTAATTGCCTTTGCATAATTTAGAAACATTGCCCATTAAAGACCACTTGTATTTGAGACAGATGAAAATTAGTTCTTTGTAGAGGCTTACGGTAGCTATTCAAAAATCTAAATCCCATATAAAACTTTCTTCAAAGTATGCAAAAAGCAACCTTTTGTAGAAATTGAATCCAAATCGCGACCTTCCCCCATGGTATCCAAAAATAACACTGGATTTCCCTCATCTCTAAGCAGCTTGTTTGCAATTTTACGATCTCTTTCTAAACGATTTATTTCATTCGTTACATCGTCCAGAAGTGAAGTTATTGGAGTCGATTCAGCAGTACATTGCACTGATATCGTTTGTACAGAGTCATTCACTTCTCGTCGTTTCTGTCGTTTAGCTCGTCGCTGTCGTGATTCCATACATTTCTAAAATCTACGTCATTTATTAAAACAAGGATGCAAGAAAGAGCAAATTTAATATGATTCGTACAAAGGCAATAACAATATAACATCAAATACCTGTTCCAAAAGTGCTTCTGCACTAAAAGCTTGGGTTCCTTGGATTCCTGTGGTCTTATCCTCAGTATCGTTAACGGAAACTTTGTCATTTGAGTCACCGCTTAAACTTTCGCTTCGACGTTTTTTTTTTTCCAGAACTGAAATAACTTCAGCATAAAATACTGTTCAGTATAAGATAGTAAAATAATGTAATGCAAACAAACAGCATGAACTTGTATTTAACTGAAGGGGAACTTACTTTGCCCCGAATCTTTATCCATTCCATTTAACCGTAAACTCAACGTTGTCGAATATCTTTCTGAAATTCTTACATATTAAAATCATTTGCAACGAGATTTCACGGAAAAAAT